TCGCAGGCCTTACAGCATTACCCCAAATCAAGATGATCGATAATATTGACTATGTTTACAGAACTTCATGGTTGTTGCCTATGTTTCTTAATTCTTATGGACTACGCTTTGAAAGACGATTATGTTCTTATTGTTAATATAATGATTAACGATTCTTATGTCCTTTTAATGGGGAGTTTATGTGATCCTTTTGTTCATTGTTTACCAATACATGTTGAATTGAATTGAATTGAAGCTGATCAGAGTAGTCTTTTCCATACTATTATTTTGCAATACTAGCGTTGGGTCTTTAAGCATATCACATACATTGCACAGAGCTTTTCACTGGACAAAAGGAGTGGGAAAAAATGTTACATGCTAGCTCCCAGGAACCTCGCAATTGCATGGGGTGATACCCCTTATTATTGGAGGTGGATCTCCATACCCGATTCCAGGTATCTTTCTCAACCACACAGGAATCACAAACAAAAACATGCATTATACAAAACGTATACATACATTTAGTCATTTAGAACCAAAATTATTCAAGCAAGCCGACGCGTGATTGCTTTATATAGTAGTCTCCTTCCCCTACCTAGAACAAATGGATATGTGATAATATGATATATAATTCATGCTTACATTAATTTTCAAACAGGTTTCCTGAGGTTGCGAAGCTTCTTGATGTCTGTTGGTTCGAAATCACTGGGAGGATTGATAGTTGCAATCTTTCCCCGATGACACGTTATAATGCTTTCCTAGTGTTCAAACTGGCAGCCTATGCTAAAGGATTCGAGAATAAACCCATAGATGCTACTTTTCGACTTGTTGGAACTCAAGTTTCAAAGCGAATTGTTTATGTTCATGTAGATAGTGGACATGTAGCACAAAATGGTGAGCGGTACCAAAAGAGAGAGGAGATGGTTGGGTTGAGGTAGAGTTGGGTGAATTCTTCAATGGAGGAGAACTTGAAGAATTTGAAATACATATTTTGTCGTATGATAGGTACGCTATGGCCGGTCTCTTTGTTCAAGGCATCGACATCAGGCCATGTTTGTAGGACATAACGAGGTTTTCTTGTTTTTTTCTTCTATGTATTTTATTTTATGTGGGAATAAAATAGCGATTGCAATGTATTAGTTTTTATAAGAATGTCAGTTCTGCTACTAATGAAATTACTAATTTGGATGCGATTTAATCTTTGCTATAAATAAATTTCATTTATAGTTTTAATTATTAAAAAAATGTTTTGTAATTTGAATTATACTAAATAATAAAATATAAATTTTAGATGAGAAACATATCATTTGGTATTAATTTTTTTTTACCTGAAGGTTTTCTATTTTATAATTTAATATAATTTATGGTAAAATAATGAATTATTATATTTTATATTAAAAAAGAATGCATTTAAATTTTATTTATTTTTAATTCCGAGAATTGTGTTTGAAGAAAAATTATTTTATTAAATTAAATGCTAAGAAACCCCCTTTTTTTTTTTTGGGATGAGGTAATGAAACCCTTTAGGAGTTCTTGATTAGAATTTTCTCCTATGAGTATTTACTTTCGATTGACATTTTTGATTTCATGACAAAGTTGCGACAAAAGTCAGTAGAAATGGAAAAATAGACTCTACAATGGTAAAAAATGCATTAAATTACAAAAATGTCCACCAAGTTCAAACTTCATATTCCATGCAAAATAGGGTTATTTATGAAAAATCACATGCTCCCTCGGTTTCCAAAAACTTAATTTTTTAACTTAAAATTTATCACAAATTAATTGTTATTTTTCTATTTTTTTTTTAAAAAAAATTTCTTACCATAACCACTTGTTAATGGCACATTGAAACTAAATTAGCATCTTTATGACCATAATTCGCCTAATAATTTTCATCTATTAAAAGTTGCCCAGGCTGCCAACATATTTACAAAAGGAAGTTCATCTAATAACAGGAATGCTAATCCCTGTGATTAATAATATAGAGCTCACCTCGTCCTTGGCAAATTGAGCCAGTGGCTCACTCCATCTCGATGCTTTCTGCCAATTTTCCTTCTTGATGTTTATAGACAGACAAATTAGGTTGCAGATTATTTTTGGTATTTACCGTTAGAGTACCTCCAAAACAATTCGTAATTCAAGACTAATCTCTTTCTTGACCATCTTAAAGTTGCACTTTACATTAATTTGGTACATTCAAAGAAATTAATCTTTTAAATATTAACCTCAACAATTGAACCCTAACTAAGACAATATTTACTTATGGGTTTGTCTAATCTATGTCTTAAGAACAAGACTCATTAATTAAGGCATCTTCAATTAATATTACATAAATTTTCATATCACATTCATAATTTTTTAAAAATTTTAAGGTAAAATATTATATTTCATTTTATTTTTACATTTTATATTATATTTTATTTGAATCTTATATGAAAATTTATGTAAAATTAATAACAAATACTGTAATAAATGAGGTTTAACCTGTGCTCTAACCCTAAGGGCACAGTTTAGAAAATCCCTTTGCTTATTAGTAATTCTAACCCTTGAGTTATCAAGTTGTGATAAGATGGCTAAATGTACTCTTACCAGATAATGCAAAATAACAGCAAGGCTATCACCTTGTATTCTATCAGCCAGTTCAATTTATTAACAGGATGCCATAGACGATGAAAGGGCAGTCAATAAGTTTTTACACTCATAAATATTGTACCAAAATCTAAATGACAAACTAAATGCTTTCATGGCAAACAATGCCCAAACCAAAACTAAATATTTTCCAACTGACTGATGTGAAAACCATGTATTACAATCATGTGTTCCAAAAATGCCAATGGGTGTACAAGTTAAACATTACATACCCATAAGTATATCAAAAGTACCAATGCCAAGCACCTGTGGCATCGGCACCTCACCTCTCCTTAAGATATCACTATATTGTTAATGCGGCAACTTCATTTAAGACGATTCTGTGTTGCAACCTAACACCCATTCATAAGGAGAGTCCGGTGGACATATCTGTCAGAGTGAATTAGCCATTCATTAAACATCCCATTAGAGATTGTATTTTTCAAAAAAAAACTATAAATTTAATTTCTCACCTCTAACAACAAAACCTTTTTATGCACTGGCACTCGAAGGAATGTCCATGACTTTTCCCACTGCAACTGTTTTTCCTGTAGACACAGTAATCCAAATTACACATTGCATGCCCAGGGTAATTCATGAATAATGAAAATGCAGTCACTTACCTTCAGTTCGAACAGTAAGCCTTCCAAGTTGTGCAAAATCTGGGAATCTCTCAAACACAAATCAAGTTGTTCCCTTGAGACAATATTGCCAAAAGGACATAATTCATGAACCAAATTTCAAACACAGAGAGATGTTTCAAATATAATTGGGCTAGTCTCTACTTCAAAGCAAAACTTCTTTCCCTGTTAAAAATAAACTGCCAGTGAAAACCATTTGGCAAAATGAATTATTGGTTGGAGATTCCAACCACTTCAGACCTTTGAAAGCTTAGAAGGTGCATAAATAACAGAACAATGCTACAGCTTTCATTTGCATAGAAATTATAGCAGTCCCACAATTATCAAGCAGGAGGATGATTCCATGTTGAATGGAAAACGTTCATAATTCTAGATAATTTCAAATGTTGGAGAATAGACACTTTGGAATTTCTAAAAGACTGAAAAGGCAGGAAGAAAACCTCAATGCGGCAAACAACAACAGCACCATTCTTAACAAATAGAACTTTCTTTTTCATGGGTTTCTTGTCTTGGGATCAATTTGTTGTAGCAGCTCAACAATCTCACATTCCTCAACAACAGAATGAATGTGCAAGACAGCTTTATACCGAGCTGTAAATATTGCCTAAAATAGCAGACAGTCCAATACCATTAGATGCATTAGATGCAAGGTTAATCAAATTAACTAAAAGATTAAAGATAAGAGAGGATTTTATAATGTGGATTCATTCATACATTTTCAAGCAACTCAAGGATCTGCAGCTGGGCTGTAAATTCAGTGACTGTTGGTATTGGTTTTGCTGGGTAAAAAAGAGAAAAAAAAAAAAGGGATATAATTCAGCAAGACTTAAAATCACAAATAACACTTTAGAATCAAAATTAGAAAATAAGTATAGAAAGCGATAGTGAGGCCAAGATGTCCCAGCATTGCTATCAAAAACTACAAAAGAATGAAAATATTTCTGCAAACAAATTTGTAAATTATCTACCATTTACCTCTTAACTCCGCTTTCTATAATCTAGTTTCCTCTTTAGGGGATCAAACATGAGAACGTTCAGTTTTTACAATCTTTAAAGCACTTACCAACACTACACAAGACAAAACCAGATAATATGTCCTCTTCTTCAAATCCAGATAACTTAACCTGCAGATTTTCACCAGGTCCAGCACGTATAGCCTTATCTTCATCACAGTAAATGGCGAGAGCCTTCACTTGAGCCTGCCATCCATGCATCTTGGACTTCAGAATCAAAGTTCAACAATAAATAAACAAATAAAGAAATTAGGTGAGAGACTAAGCACCTTGTTTGGCATGACCAATAAGGAATCACCCTCATGCATGGTACCAGATTCAACCTTTCCCATTACGACAGTTCCCATGTCTTTAAATTTGTCAATTATAGGCATCCTGTAAATTTAGAAAACATATAGTTAATAGATGTGAAATCAAAGATTGAAACAGCCTTGATAATTCAGAATCTACATTGAGTAACTTTAATTTTAGCAATTTAGGGTTCTATTTTATTATACTTAAGTTTTTCTATGTTCAGGGGCAGACTTAATATAATTTCAGTTTCATGATTTAGATTTTCTTTTTAAAATATAATTTGGGCACATTTTGGTCATTCTAGGATCTTTAGGAGTTGGATTTTTTAGGCCTTATTTTCTAAGAATCCTAGCCAGTTATTTACTTATGTTTGGAAACAAAGTCATAGGGACTCAAGAAATAGTCAGAGTCCTTATAAGTCACTATGTAGCCTTTTCTATAACAAAAGGAAAAAGGGTTTAGTTATACAATTATACTTTCTTCCTAGAGTTGCATGATTTCCTACAGTAATAAATTACACCTAAAAGGACCTTTTCGATCTCGAGGAGGAATTTCAACTGCATCAAGAACTTCAAAGAGGCAGGGCCATTCCACCAGGGGTATATGCTCTTCTCCAGTCTCATTTTCATGTTGGAACCAAGAAGACCAGATATAGGTAGAAACTGGATATCTACAGGTTCAGAATAAGATTAAAAACACAATCAATATGCAGAATTAATTGCTTTGCTTTTATGGAAAAGATACAAATAACCCACAATTTTAATTCAATCAAT